TGCTGTAAAAACAAAATGATTAATACCAAGATGTATTTGTGATGAGTAATGATGGGACAACATATAGGCATTCCATGGCAAGGCTTTGGGAAACTTACGTTACAAATTTCCCAAAATATGGGCTTGGTTGTCTAGCAGTGCCTCAGACAAACCCAACGAAAATGAAAGGGTATGTAATCATGAAAATGTACTGGACTAATGCTAAAGGGGTGGCAACTCTGAGGTTAACAAGTTAAAGAATCCAATTTACCTGTCTAAAATCATGTTACATTATTAAAACGGTTCTAAAAGCTTTGTGTTTTGTTGTTTGTTTTTTACTTTTTTTTTTTTTGCAAGTTTGGACAGTGGCAGTCAATCAGCTTGTTCTTAGTCTTGTTTCCTGCCTCACAAGCTAGCCAGGTGCTGTAGCTTTTGGGCAGCAATCCCTTTAATGAAATACTTGCTTTTAGGTTAAAGTTGATTTGAAAAATTGAGTCATCTCTATTGTTCTTCAGTTACATCTTCACAAAACTGAAATATGGGCTCACATTTGACCTCTGAGTATGCATTTGAACAGTTACCAAAATGGGAGTCTGCATTTTTTTTGCCATGCTCCAGGTTCTAGGTGCTGCTAAAAGTATGCAATTTTGTTCTACAAAAAAAATCTTTATTACCGTATGTTTTCACCCTTTTGTATTTATGGTAATAATTCAATCAAGTAAGACAAATCTGTCTACTTTTGGGGGTTATTTTTGATTGCCCTAGCCTAGAGTTCAATTTTTCTATCAGAGACTGGGAATCACAGCTACTGGCACCTAGGCTTTGGACAGAAAATAAATTAAAACATACTACTCCCAAAGCTTTTTTTTTTTTAATTTCTATTTTAATTTTCCTTTCCCTTTATGTTATTTTTTTAATACTACTGTGAAAGGCCATTTTACTGTGATATAAAGTAATTTAACCTGTAAATGGAGGCTCTGCTAAAACAGATTCTTTCTTGGGTTGCCCTTCCAATCTGAACTTAGGTGTTTGTCTTCTTTCCCCCTCCCTGCATCAGCTTGTCAAATGGAACAGTGAAGAGGAATATTTTGGGGTGAAAAGCAAGCTGTTAAGATTATGCCTTGTTTTGTTGCCATGTGATTTTTAATTATATTTGGTTGTAAAAAGTAAATATTAATGTTAGGCACAGAAAGCCCATCCAGCTCAAATTTGTAGGCGAACTTATGTCACTGTTGATGCATATGTATTCTGTGCAGTTTGCATGCTGTACATCTCTGTATTTACCTGTGGCTTTGGGGCTGTCCTACAGGTTGAGGAGCGTGCTTACAACACCCTCCTGGCTTTGTCGCAGCCATTCTTCACACCCTATTACTTCCCCATCCTGTTAGTTGCTGCTTTTGGCTCCCGCTGAGCAGCTTCCTCGGTGTGAAGCCTGCGGGGTGATAGCCGCCAGCACAGCTTCTTTGCTTCACACTTGGTGGGGCCCCTGGCAAGCTGGCCGCTACAGCTGGCACTTGCCTTTTGGCTTCCCTTGCTTGCTAGTGATCAAACTGTCATGCTTTAGTGCATGAAATGCTTTAGTGCATGTGCTTGGCCCAATAACAAGCAAGAATCGTGGTCAGCCTGAGCTTGTCCTGTTACCTGCAGTGAAGGTCCAGAGGCTTCTTTTCTTTTTTAAAGACAGTTGCTGATCGTAGCTGGTGATGTCATGTGTGACACACTATTATACAGCACATAACACTAACTTTATCTTCCAGCTGAAACCCACCACACATGGCTATTTCCCCGTGTTATTGGGTGTTGCAGATATAAGTGCTGTCACATTTTCCTAGGTCTGTGTATAATCTGTCAAAATAATTCTTGAAGTCCAGCCTCAGTTCATGGTCCCATTACGTTTCATATATGTATGTGTATAAGGAATGGGAGCTGTGTGATATGAAATGTTAACCTAGGAGGGTTGAATGCCAGATGTGACAGCCTGCACAGTCTGAGATTATAATCTGACCCTGTGTGCGTAAGAAATTTATCTATGGTATTTTTATTAGTTTTGGAAATGGAATTATTCAACCTATGGATTTATCTGGATAGAGCAGGGTTTGTAATTTTTGAAGCTGAGTGCTTGCGTTGTTGTCTTTTGAAATAAATATGGGATAATTACTAGTGCCTTGCATTGTCATAGCAGTCATAAATGCTTTACATGATTCCAATAAAGTGTGTGTGCTCACCAGCTGTACCGTGCTCTGAGGCACTCTGACCTCACCAGAGAAGATGTTGTAAGGTCTTCCAGGGGCACCCAGAGCAGTGACTGGGTAAACATACAGTTAAGACTTCATTTAGCTGAAAGAGCAGAGTTTGCAGTGGGGTTGCCTTTATTTGCGTGCTGTTTAAGGGAATCGGCATGCAATACCCCACTTCCCCACCTTTGTTCAGTGCATGTCTCCCTCCCCTGCACTGAGTGTGTGTGATCGGGGGGGTAGACTGATTTTCAGATGGGGAGCCTAATCTTGTCATTAGAAGCGGACCACGTGCAGAAGTTGTTTAGTATAAACAGACGCTAGCTCTGTCTGTTATTTCCACAGTACCTGTGCGAGCTGAATGTGCCTGGGTCTGGGATCGTGTTGCTGGGTCCGTGCCGGGACTTGTCTGAATCCTGCCAGAAGGCCAAGCTTATCTTTGCTGCGTGATGCAGTGTGGACGCACTGGCTTGGGTTGACTTGGAGTTAGGGTCTGCTCGGGGACCTTGCTGCGTTGCATGGTGCAGACAGACCTGCCTGAAGATTATTGGAGATCATGTTCAATGCCCTAGTCTTGCCAGTTAAAATACATTAGAGAAGTACTGATCTTGCTGTGTGTGGGTGGATAATGTATATTTTATTGCCAGTGTTTGCTATAGGGGTTGGAGCCTGCCTGCCTCCCCCACTCCAACTGTATGTTTTACTTTATGCAGTAGGCTAAGGACCAGGTTTTACCACAACTAACTTACAAGCCGCTTTATTCCAAGATATTATATCTACTGTGGTAGACCTTCAGATTCACAGCTGATAGCTCGAAGATTGAAAGCACATATACCTCAAATATCTCTTCTCTGGGACAGGTTAGAAGTGAATATAACTGATGTAATGACAGTAAAAGCTGTAGATGGAAAAGCGATAGGTAGAGCTGAGCTCCTTTAGGATAAATGCTGCTGGGCTTGGAGTGTTTTTTTAACTTGGGTTTGTAGTTTTGTGAGTATCTGCTGTCTGCCACACTGCTTTATTAAAGAGAGCACCTCCCCAAAATGTGAAAGCTGCAAGCTGCAAACCAATTTACACCGTGGAATTGGCAGTGTGGGGAATGGCTCCATCTCAAACCATCTCAGCTACTTTGATTTCCATCTGTGGTGTGCCTGGGTGTTCCTTTAACTCTAAACCTTTGAGAGAAGGTTACAAAATGTGTGTTTACTCGAAGCACACAACCTGCTCAGCTGCAATTATCTCCTAATCTGGTCCTTCTGAGTTTCTCCGGTCTCTCAGGTAAATACAGATTTAGCCGTTATTCAAGGCATATTATTTACCTCATTAAGTGTGTGTTTTGGCACGTGCGTTATTTACCTGATGGACTAACGGATAGGAAAGAGCAAATGCTGTCTTTTGTGCAAATAGCGACTTTGTTCGCAGAATGCGAGTCCTCTGCTTTCTGTCTTTCGCGTTTCATGGAGAAAGCGCAGCTGCTCTGTGCCGCCCAGCGGGTCGCTTCCTGCCCTTCATGTAGCCGCAAAAAAGCAAGTGCACACACGTGGGGAGACTCAGCTCCTGGCCCCAGCACTGAGAAACCACGTGAATGGGAGACACGCGACCCTGCGCTCCCCACGAGGCAGTTCTTGCCCAGAGCCACAAGCAGGCGATGCCCTTTGTCTCCTGCCCGAGCCAGATTGTGAGCCCCTGTGGAGGAGCATCGCATGCGATTGGCATGGGGAGTTACCTCCTGGCCTGCCTGCGTCCTTACATCTGTATCTATATAGAGAGATGTGTATATATGTGTATATAAACTCACTCGTCCTTGTTCTAGAAGACTGAGTTGTGATTCCCTTGTTTTGCCTTACGCCCAGCTATGTTATATCTCCATGAGTTGAACTTGAGCTCTTATCCTCATGAGCGCGTCGTACCTGTTACCAGCCCTGAGGTGGGTGTTCCTTGGGTGGTGGCAATCCTGTGAAATTTTACCAGCAGCAGTTTAAAAGAAAAGGGGTGGGAGGAAATCTGAACAGTCTCACGTGGGTAAGGTAAAATATTAAATGAGAAACAGAAACATCACAAGATGATGGCTGGGTGAGGGAGGGAGAGCTATTGAGTCTTGCTTGCATTTTACTAAAAGGAAAATTTGGTCTTGGCAGTTCATGTTTGGGATTGTTGCACCAATCTCCTCTTCTGAAAAGTATCTGAAGTGAGAAATCTGATATAGCACGAGAGTAAAGTCACATCTGTGAGAAACCTACTATTTGGAACAAGTGAGAACCTCTGTGGAGAATATCCTTTTAGCCAACAGATGTGTGGATTTATAATGGCAGTGGGAGGTTTTGGTGTGACTAATAGGCACTTCCAGGGCCAGGCTGTTTTGATGGGTTGTAGTGTTGGTATGTGTCTTACTGTATTTAATTCCTGCCGTGTTTCGAAAGTTGCATTGTATATGAAAAGACTAAAGGCCTTCCCAGAAATTTCAACGATTTTTGGACCAGACTGTATATGCTTAAGTGATTTATATTGTGTTCTGCTATGATAAGGTTTAGTGGGGATGTGTGAGCTGGCACATGGAACAGTGACTGTCTCTCATAGTTCTTAATTTAGAGCTGTTTGCAGAGGTTAATTCCCAGTTGCCTGTGGTTCTAGACACCTCGAGCTCCATCCAAATGCCACCTGTGGTGCTTAGAGCAGGTTACTATGTTATTTCAGATTTCTAATGCCAGACCCTCCACCAGGACGCACAGAGAAAATCTAGGACGACAGAGTGAGGATGAAGAGAGGTGAGATGTGTACGTGCATAAGTAACAGGAGTCTCTCTTCAGTTTCAGATGCCTCTGGATGTTCAATGGTAGCACTCCTCCATACTGGAGCAGCCAAGTTTCCCCGAAACTTACTTCCAAGGGTGAGACAAGCTGTGTGCTCCCTCCTCCCGGCTGGTGTTCTCAAAGGGTACGACTCCATCGTAAGCAGGAAGCTGGCGTCCCACGGCTTTGGAGCTTCCATGGCAGCAATGTCATCCTTCCCTCCACAGAGATATCACTACTTCTTAGTGCTGGATTTTGAGGCCACATGTGATAAACCACAGATTCATCCTCAGGTAAATAGTTGATCCTGTTAATTCTCCCCTTGCAAGTTGCTGCTGCCATTCTGGGAGATGGAAGGAAAAGCCGCACTGCCAGCCAGCTTGTTTTCCCTGGTTTGTCTCACCTTCTTTCTGTTGCTGGCCCTCCGGGCCTCTTATCAGTCCACCTCTCTCCCATGAACAGCGCCAGGTCTGTTCAGTGGGAATGAAATGAAGGACCCTGATTTCCATCAAAGCGGTGAAAATTCATGTGTTATCAAAAACACTTTCCTACGTCATATAAGCTTGTCATCTGCTTGAACTGGGGAGGGTTATAAAATTGCTGGTTGGGAGCCTGCATTATTAGCATACTCAAGGCAGCCTTGTCTGATTCTGCAAGGAAAAAGGCTGTTACTAGCCGATAGTTTCAGAAAAGGAAGAGTTGGGATGATAAAATAGATGCAGAAAGGATAAATAGATAAGAACAATAGTTCTGAGCTGTCTGATCTTGCTGCAGTTGTCTTGCCTGGATGTTAACTCTGGAGCGTAATAAGATGGGAACAATTCAGCTTCAGAGAGATTTTTCCAGTGCCTTACCTCTCGAGATATGCAGTGATCTGGATGAAGTGCAGAGGTTTTTCTTCAGACAGTTCTTTCATAATAGTGAAAAGCAAGTTAGTAAATACATTTTCGGTTGCCAGCAGGGCAGACCTGGAGCTTCCATTTAAATTAGAAAAGCATGATAAAAAGAAATAACCTAATACTGGGTTTGGTAACAAGTGAAGAGATTTCAGAGTCTCTGCACTGACTTCAGACTTCATATCCACCCCTGTAGCAAGCAATCAGCCTCTTGCTGGCATTGCCAGTAATGTGCAGCTGTCTAAGAACACTTCTGTTTGCTTTGTTTCAAATATGCTGAAAGTCAAGCGATTTTCAACATGGCATCTCCTTACTGAGATGATTTAATGCGGTGAACCCATTTCTTAACGCAGCTATGGTTTCCTTTGGGCTTGTCCCGTCACAGGGATCAACCTTGAGCCATACCTTCCCCTGCTGTGCCTTGGTGAGCACTGCTAGTCTCCCACGTTTCCTGAAAATGGAAGGCAAACCCCTGTTCTTCTGCTGGGTCTTTGTGAGAGGATGTTGTGTCTCTGCCTCTAATTCTGCTAGGAAGGTCTTAACCGCTCTCCAACTGAGATGTCTGGCTATTTCCTGCACGCTCAGCCTCGGGTGCACAGACCTGTCAAAGCTGTAAATTGGATCTACCTTGTCCCTTTGGATATGGGTTTGGTCTGTGCACATTTTGATGCAAAACCATGATGCATGTGGAGCTAGTTTACAGCTGGCAGTAAAAAGGAGCATGAGTGGAATATGATTACTACTGTTTTAAGGAGCTTTGTCCCCAAGTCCTTGCCAGGGAAAGTAATGGTCTGGGCCAATGCAGATCTGCTATATATTTTGTTGGCGAGATAACACCTTTAAGGTGGAGAGGTTCTTCAGTGTTGTTTTTCCAGTCTGCTGTGTTCAGTGCCTGTCTGTATCATATCTTGTGTGGTAGTGGCTGTCAGTCCCTCACATCCCCACGAGCAAATTAGTTTGACAAATAAAGAAATGGCTCTTGCTGCACTGGAATCAGCGTAGCTGCAAAGACTGAAGTTGCTCGCCTGAATCAGACAACTCTGCAAAAATGAGACTTTTTTTCAGTTGCTGTCCCTGCCTACATCTTACCTCTTTGCTGACCAGAATGGCTTTTACCTTGTTCACTGCTGGGCTGTATGTCGTGGTGAGCAAACTGTGTTGCGTATGTCAGTGATGTCCTGTGCAAGGTTTTGATGTCCTGGCAGGATCTTTCACGGGAGCAGTGGCAGATGGTGAGATTTCAGAGATGTGTTCTGAGGACGGACCTGGAAGCTAGCAGTGGTCAGGAGCTGATCTTAACTGTGATCCTGATTCTTTTTCTGCATTTATTTTATTATAGCTCAGAACCTGGAAAATAGAGCTCTAGCAGGCGATGCAACAAAATTCGAATGCATTGGAGTTTGTTGATGAGGAGGTTGCATATAGAGCTGAGCTGTGATCCAAGTTACTTTAAGTGGATAGTCATAGCTGTAAATTTAGCCAGCTTGACAAAAAGTCTTGCAGAACACACATGCCACCATGCAGTAGCACTTCAGATCTCACTAACCACTCTTAAAAACATTCTTGCTTATTACCAGAAACTACTGAAGGAGCGATCCTTTTATCTACACTAAGGTGTTTGACTGCAATGTTCGCTCCCCTTCCCGTGGTATTTACTGGTGGTGAGTGCTTCTTTGCAACCGGCAGCCTGGCTGACTTTATCCCTGGGAGATGTCCTTCGTGTTCCTTTCAGAGCCCTGAAGACTCCTTCATTTCCATTCCCTTTCATGCTATCCCTCCCTCTGAGGTCTCATGGCATGGCCTCCATAACAGGGATCAAGGAGGGTCAAGAACAGTGGTATTCCCCTAGGAAGCCACCCATATTGTGACTTAACTGGTTCCGGGCACTGGCTGAGTGCTGGGCGACAGCTGCCCTTTGCTTTATCGCTTCTTGGACTGATGTGGAGGCTCCTTAACATTCCCTGTCCTATATTCACAGGAGGATAGTAGCATTGGGAATGGTAATAGAGAGCTCTTCAACAGGCCAGCCTGCATCCTTGCAGTTCGCTCTTGATGGCTTTCAACAGATACGCCTCCAAATCAAAGTGCGTAACAGTAAGTGCAAAGCAGCAGCTTGGCTTTTGGGTTTAATGGGTATATTTATGGGCAATGAGACCATCCCAGAGACAATAGAATTTGGGGGTTTTAATTGCATTGCCCCAGATGGATAGATGTGAAAACCTGAAAGAAGAATAGAGGCATAGTCTGTGTATAGTAGTGTTTTAAGCAGCTGAAGGTCAGTAGGTGTAGGCAGTAAGGGAGGTTTATGGCTAGCCCCTCTTACCTCTTTAAAGCTTACCTCAGCCTGTAGAGCCATGTACATATGGCACTTTAGATGCACAAGAAGAGATGCATTAGTAAGTGGGAGTGTCTCTTTCTCTCTCTCATTCCTTTGTCCTTGTAGGCACTGGTGTTTACGGTGGTCAGTCCTTCGGTGACTGCGTCAGGAGCCCCCCAGGCTCAGAGACGCAGCTCCCTTGTTTTATTAATGCAGTGAGTGGGTGTGCCCCTTTAGTCAGCAAGCTGAGCATCCTGCCTTCAACTGCAGCGGAGTGGATAAAAAGGGATTTTTTTTCTTTTTAATGTAAAATGTCTGATGACAGAAATCACATCTATTCAAAGCTAAGTTTGAAATTGGGCCTTAATTTAGAGTGTTAATCTCTACTATAGTTTATTAAAACTACTTAGGTTAAAAACAAGTAATACTCAATCTTGTATACGTTTGCTGCCTGAAAGTTGGAAAGAATACCAGAGGCCAGAACTGACAGAAGTCACTGTCTCAGGAGTTGGAACTAGGAGTTGTTGAAATGCTAAATGAACTTTTGATGATGATAAAGATACTTTTTTTTTTTTATGTCAGTTTATTCGGGTGCTTGACTTCAGTGTCTCAAAATCACTCAAATTTGATAATCACTTGGGAATTAGAAATTTGCTTTTTTCAATCTCTGTGTAAAAGGAAGGTGTGAAATGTTCAGATCTTCTAACGCTAAAGTCGTAAAGGATATTATGACCAGAAGCAGAAAAATAATTGAACTACAGATGATACTTTTTGTGTTCTCTTAAACAATACATTCAAAATACACATATATTTTGATATTTTTCTTTAGATTATCCCACATATTTCAGGTTGTTTAACTATACATTTTAACTGATGTTTTTGTAATTTCTTTCAATTGTATATAGAATTATTTTTTATAATTTCTATCAAATGAAACTGGACATACCTGATAATAAATACAGGATGTCATTCACTTTTTCAACATAAAACTGTAAACACTGAGACCGTGGATAAGAATGCTTAGCGGCTAATTTATTTGTAACTGTGCATGTGTACAATATGTATGCTAATAGCATATTTCCTGCTTGGCAAAACTGTATCAGCGAATGAGATCCAGCCTTGCTTTAAGATAATATCAAGTGCAAGTGCAAAACAAGGTTAAATTGGTTTCAGACTCTTGTTTCCTGGAACGCTTGTGTAAATGAGCATTGAAGTTGGTTCCCCCGAGCATCAGTCTTGTGGCTCTGACTTGCAGGCGCAGGCAGATGCAGCGGGAGCAGCCAAAACGATCACTGCCTCTCTGCTGCTCGTACTGCTCTCCCTTTTTTGCTGGATGGTGTCATTCCCATGGTAGGGACAACTGAATGATGTGTATCTGCTTCTGAGCTGCTGTGATTTATGGACTGACCTTGTAATGTGAATGGATGTTGATTTCTACCAAATTTAGGGCTTAGCAATAGACGTGCAGTCCCTGCTGAGCTCCGTGCTCAGCCTAAGTAGTGAGGGGATGGGCAAGCCGCCCAGGTAGCCATGGCCTGAGCTCAGGGGACTTTCTAGGTGGAGTATGTCAGAAATGACAACCCCGGGAGCCGTGCTGCTAGAGGAGCTCACAGGAGGGACCGAAGCAGGCTGCAAGCTATCTTCTGAAGCTCTTCAAGCAGTGCTCTGTGAAGACTGTATTAAGGCAATCCTAGCCGAAGGCCAGGATGGGAATGGTGGCTCACAATGCCGGTATCAGAGAGATTGTCACAATCCTATCCAAAGGCAAAGAGTGGAGATGTGCCAGTGCTCACCTATTCTATCTAGATATTCCTGTGTAGCAGCTGGCTTTTAGCACAGTTTTTGTGTAGCTGTTGAGCTCAGTGCATTAGAAATCACCTGCCAAAATCTGTATTAAGGCTGATAGTGAATTGCTGAAAAGTGAAGAAATTTCAGGCTTGTTTCCCATGGCAACTTTAACTCAGCACTCTCGTGCATAAGTATTACAATGGAGTATTAATCTGCAATTACCTGTCTTCATGCAGCTTAGGCTTGGGTGTAGTTGTAAATACTTAGTTCTCAATTCGGCTTCACCCAGTGT